CGCGATATTATAATAAGATAAGTTAATGATATCATTTTAAATTAATTTTATGGAAAGAAATTGAAATTTAGATATCTTTGACTATTTAATATATTATATTAAATATATTATAAATTTTAAATCAATCACACATGGAGTATAATGAATACATGATATAAATGTAAAAATGATATTTTATACATTTTGATGGAAAATTTTTTTAATGTTGTTTTACTCATTATATAAATTATATATTATTCAGTGATACAGAATGAAAATAATAAACTTTTTTATTAATTTTTTTATTAAAAACGAAAATAAGAGAAAGAAAATATATAATAATACATCTCTAATAATAATCTCTAATAATAATATATATATATCTCATATTTATATGTCCTAGAATAAGATAGTGTTTCAAGAAAAAAATTAAAATTAAAAAAAAAGTTAAAAAATAAAAGTTTTTTTAAATAATTAAATATAATTTTAGATAATAATAGAAATATTTTAAATTTCTCATTTAATTTTCAAAATTACGATGAAAGGAAGATAAGATTTTACATCATTTCTATATAATATATAATTTCTATATAATTCACAATTGCTTGCAAAAGTTCATTCATAGAAATCACGTTCCAAGTTTCTGTTATATCACTAAGCAAAGTAATTGAAATTCAGTGACTTGTAATAACTTTACATTCGTGATGTATCCATTGTTCAAATTTTCATTAATTCTATATTTCTACACTGTTGAAGTATCCAATATGTTACATATTGTAATTAATAAATAATTTCATGCAAATTTTACGTTTATTAAATATAAATAATAATTATTTGGAAATTCTATTTTATAATTTTTATTATTTTTCTTTTATTATTCTAAAAAATAATTTGTAAATGGTATATAAATATTGAGAATATTTCAATGAATTTATTTTCTTATTTTTTTATTCTTTATATTTTTTCCAAAGATTGTACGAAAATTAACGAAAGACATAATCTGAATTTCTGAATAAAATAAGAAAAATTTAACATACTAATTTGTCACGTTAAACGAAATATCAAACAGATAGTTGAATGTCTTTTGTTGATTGAAATTTTCCAACAAAACCACATTCCGTTATCGTTTTGTCTTGGTCGAATAAGCATCAAGAGGAAACTGTTTCAGCGACATCACGCGAAACAAGTCCTATTTCCAATTCCGGGAGAAATTCTATAAACTGTTGCACTGCGTTTCGCCACGAAACGGAAAACATTGTGTGCATGCGATTGCAGAATTGGTATTCGACGTAGATTTCCAATAGCAACGTGAGTTTTTTCACGGTGGCCAAGTCCATGGAGATCGATTTACTTCGCCAATCGTAAAGAGACATGTGCAACAGATTGACAGAAATCTGATAAACTAATGAAAAAATTTTTTCTTAACACTTTACTTACCTAAATCTAATTTAACTTGAAATAAATGGTATAACCTTTTTAAAATATGAAAATGTCACTGATTTACAACGAAAAATTCACAATTTATTGAACTATTCGAACCTCTCGAATCTAACCTCTCAAATTCAATTCAAACTCGTACAATAAAACCTTTCGAATCTATTCTACTTGAATCTTCAAGCCAAATTTATGCAACAAAACCAATAAAATTTCATTATTTTAACTTCGTCAAATTCGAATCATCATTAACAATCTACAATTCAATACAAAATTAAAACTTGATTATAAACACAAAAAACTAATAAAACACTTCACAATGATTAACACCGAAATCGCGGTCAATTGCAAGATTCTCATAAATGTTCAAATTTCTAACGTTTCTACTTGTCTTATCCAGAGGGCAGTAAAAATAGTTCTTATTTCATTATTTGATGTTTTTACGATCACATACACGGTACCTCTGCGATGAATATCCCTCGCCATTTTCCCCACTCTCCACTCATTGGCTATTCGACCGATTCGCATTCCCTCGACCACGAATCCAATCACTCGAATCGCAGCTAAAAAGCTCTCGAAGCTTTGGCCCCGAAGTCTGTGTGATCGACAGATTATAGAGAGCCGTCCCGTAGCCGAGTGGCATTCGACGCTCTATACCTTCGGTGTCAACGACGAGCCTCGACACTCGCAGAATTCTGGAGGATCGAGTGAACCGGTCCGTGACATCGAGCAACTACAGAATATCGGGGATCCTGTGTTCGACAAAGCACCTGATATTGACAAAGACTGTTTATCGCGCATATGGGTGATCTATTATATTAGCAGTCTATACGACATATGAGAACTCCTTAACCTCATTCGTGAAAAATTGTAGTTGATCTAATTGAATTTATCTTTTTTGATTCGTGATTTTATGATTTTATGTTTATGTGGATTTATATTTTTATAAATATATATATGTAAAGAAATAGAATAGATAAATTCTATATTATAAAGATATATTATAAAGATATAAACATTCTGTCTAAAAATTATAAAAAAAAAGCAGTAAAATTTTGTAATTAGTTCTTTCTCATCTATAAAAATTAATATCTTGATATTATTTAAATTATTATTTTTATCACAATTAAAAAAGGAATATGATTTTTATGAAACAATTTCTCTACGTTTACATTGGTCTCATAATGAGTAGCTAAGCGTATGCTGGTCACGGATCGCGAATGGGATAGCTTGCAGAATTAATTAGCACATTGGTCATGTTGGCGAATTCCTCCAGAATATATTATGCAAAGACGTTACAGACAATATTTTCTACATTATTCCACACACATGGACAAAAATTAAGAAATATATATTAACGTTATATTTTACTGTGTTATACTAGTTCATTCTATGAATAGTGAATAGTATATATTAGTTTTCCAACATTAATTATAAGTTAGTATCATTGTTTTTCTGTTATCATAATACATTAAGTATTAAACTCAATCGGGGAAAAGGTTAAGAATTTTATTAAAATTAAAATTTTTGAAAAATTAATATTTTCCTTATAAAAATATTATTTTATATTATTTAAATTTAAATTAAATTTATAAAAAAGAAATTTGATAATTATCAATGTTTTATTTTTCTTGTAATTTGTAATAGTTTAATAATGAAATAGTTTAAGAGTTGAAATTCAATTTACATAGAATTAAATTTATTTATTATTGTTATTTAACATATGATACACTTCTAAATATCATTTATTATTATTCTATATATAATCACAAAGAGAAACGTCAACATTATTCCAAATGGTTCACTTAATGAACTCAAAATATATTTATCAGTAGATGGAACACAGCGTATGCAGCAACAACAATAATAATAATTAGCATAAATTTCATTAAATAGAGAAACTAAAGGAATTAATTGTAACATAGAATAATTATTTAATGATATATATATATATCAAAGTATATAATTGATGAAATATAAATTCTGTAATTATTTTATTTTTTAATGAATTTTAGTATAATTGTTTTGTAAAATTCATATGATGTATCACATATATTTTATCGTTTTGAAACTACTACATGTTTCATGAAAAAGTAATTGATTGTTGCGATAGCATTGCTTGTTAAATAGACGTACAATGAATAGTTGTTATTTCTGTACTAATTTGCACTGTATACAGCAATGACTTGTTAAATTTGTAGAATTATTGCCAACGTTCATAACTTTGTGAATTCATGAAACGCTAATGACTTGTTTCATAAAAATGAATTTTTTGAAACTTTTTATAGAATTATTTCATTAATTAAAACAACAATAAAAATGGTACATATATGAATAGTAAAATAATTTAACAAAATAATCCGAAAGTAAATATTTATAACTATATTTGGAATGAATTTTTTCAATGAATTCTTTTGAAAATTATAACGCATTTTTGAAAATTAAAATTGAAAAATCCAGTATATTATACAGGAAATGATAATTAGAAAAGAATAAAACGTAATTAAATCTTATTATGTTTATGTATAACATAATCTAATCTAATCTTTAATAGGATGTAAGTTAGATAATTACTATATACACATTTCTCTATAATTTCCTATATTCTTTTCATATAAAAAATATTTATTTGATTTACTTTAATCCTTGCCATACTTATGTAATAGATATCCATCAGTAGAGAAAATAAAAAATATTATACTTAAAAAGTATTTTCTCACTCTCATTCTCATTATTAAATTTCTTCTAATAACCAAAAATTCAATAACCAACAATAGCATATCAAAAAACAAATAAAAAAGAAAAAGAAAAAAATAGTTAAATAATAAAAATGGAAACGTAGGAGAAAACTTTTGAAACGAAGCAATTCCGTTTTTCATGTTAGTTTCATTTCCAAGGCTCTGCTAATTCTCAGTTATCGTGGGCTGGCTACGGTTCGCATCCCTTTTTGTTTGGTCGGATCCAAGAGAAGAGGAAATTCAGTAGCACGCATCGCCCATAAATCCGTTCCTCCTACGGTGGAATTTCCCAACAGGTTTTCCGGGAAAACCCAATTGAAGAGAGCTACGTGGAAACTGGCCGCCATGAAACAACCGATTTCGATCGTGAACGGCGAATCTGGTTTACGGAATCTGACTCGTTCGGGTTGAAATGACCGCGATGAAAATTGAATCGATGTCGTCGCGTTTCAACGAGTTTAACGAGCCAGAAGACGAACACTGGCTACACTGACGACTATAATGATCTCCATTCGTGATTGCCTTGACATTTTTCTTAATTTTCTTTTTTTGATTATTTTATAATCGATCTGTATTAGTGGTGGAAATTTTGAATAGGTTAGAAGCAAGAAAAACATTAGAAGTAAAATAATTGAATGGATTTTGAAAATTTAAAGATGTCATGGACTCCAAATATAAAATTTTTAATTAGGATATTTAGTAGTTTCTGAAGTATTAATGGAAAACTTTAAATATTATATAATATTAAATTTTATATCTATATAGAGACATATATGATTAATACCGTTGTTTTCGCTATAGATGTCGTTGTCGTCGAGTATGTGTCGTCGTAAGTGTTTAATGGCCGATGTTTTGTGTAAAATTTTCAATGTTTCTATGAAAAAATTTCTTGATATGAGTGAAATTTTATTATTTTATTATTTTATTATTTTAATTTCGATATTGCAATTTGTGTATTTTTGTTTTGTTTTATTTCGATATATATTTTATGCTAATGATTCTCAATTTTTAGTATTCAATTCTGATATATTAATTTGAATGGAAATTAGAACAAAGTTTATGATAGAATATATGAAATTAAAACAAAACTGTGCCAAGAAGTTTCAAGTTAAACATTCTTATACAGGAACTAATAAAATTCTTTTGCTCGATAAATCTCGTTAAGTATTTTACTTTGTTTTCTCTTAAAATATGAAACTTTTTTAAATGATCCTTTCGAATATTTATATTCGAAAAAAATTATTAAGAAAATGTAACAATGTAACAAAAAATATATAATAAATATATAATAAATAATATAATATATAATAATATATGATATATGATAAATATCGTAATGCCGAATATTGAAAGCTAACCTATAAAAATGGATAGATAATTTATGTTTTAAAAATCAATGATTTAAAATTTAAAAAAATATATATCAATTTAAATTTAATAAAAAAGAGTTTAATTTAAAAAGAATTAGAAAAAAAAAATAGAACATTATAAAATACATTATATTTAATAACAATATAAATGTATATTATAAGAAAATATATTTTTTTGTACTATATGTATATATTATTAATTTAAATATAATTATTAGCAAATTACGAATGTTTTCAAAAATATAAATATTTTCAAATATCAATAAATTAATAAAATGAAACTCTTGTCAGTTGTAAACTAGACGGAATAATAGAGATTCAAATCTTCCTCGATTTACCGTTTGACGAAACAAATGATAAATTGATCGAGAGTGATGGACAGACAATCGGGTAGATAAATGGAATGGATTGACAAGTAGATAAAGTGATCGATGCGAAAATTGATGAACCAAACGAGTGACAGGTCGTTATATACAGAAGTCCCAATCGAATCTCGTAAAATTGCAAATTAATTTTTCTCTTGGAAATAGATAATTCGATTCTGATTTAGAGTAAAGAAATCATTCAATTCTTTTTTATGTATTTAAAAAAATTATAATGAATCAACGAGTTTCTGTAATTTAATTGCACTCATTATTCATTAATTAAAATTATAAATTTTATTATTTTTGTAATAATTTAAAATTAGTTATTAGATATTTTTTTTTGATTAATTTAATTTTTTTATTGCACCATTGCAAATCGTTAAAAAAAATTGCAAGAACGAATATTTTGTATATCAATATTCTTTAAAAATTGACTTTTAAAACATCTTGTTAATTATAATTAAGAAAAAATTTGAATTTTTGTTTTTTTTAGTTTTTTTCTTTTTTTATATCTCGTTTTTTAAAAAAAATTAAAAATCAAAGTTTTAAAATATCAAAAATAAATTTAGTCTTTAAAGAAAATTTCATTTTAATTGCATAACGAGTTGAACGTGACACTTTTCCTTATCGCCGTTTAAAACTTTCAAACTTCTGAAAATCATCAACGATTTCATTGTCTTTGAAGTAATTTGCACTGGACCCTCTCATTACGAGAAATGCTATTCATAAATTAATTCTATAAGCTTCTTTCTGTTTTTTATCTCTGTCGTTCAAATTTTAAATTAAACGATTGTTAAATTAAATAATTTTATTTTTTTAAACAAGTAAAATAAAAATAAATATATAAAAAAAAATATGTAATAATTTTTAATGGTAAATGAAATTTATTATTAGCCTTTTCAAATAGAAGCATTTATTTAGAAAAATAAATAATAAACAAAAAAGCTTTTGATTTAGGATAATAAAAATCATTTTAAATAAATTTTAATTAAAATAACTTTAATATAATAATAATAATTTTATTTTTTTTTTACAGATACGATACGATCTTCAAGTTACAGAAAATTATGGTGTTTAACTTCGGACTAATATCAATTTCTACAAGAACATTGTACGCTTTTTCGTAAGAAAAATGTCGTAAGTTTCGAAGACGGAAGTTGGGAGTCGCGCGTGTTTGAAAGTTACGAAGGCACCGAGTGCCGGCACATGCTTGAAAGCGAGGAAATAAACAAGTTTACTCGAAAGGAAAGGAAAGCTCAATAGAAAAGTTGAGAGAACAAACACGTTGTCTAAACGGATAAATTGCTGATCTTTTCTCCTACGAAACTGAATGATTTTTAAATCTTTTTTGATATTTTCGATATTTTCATTTCTTTTGTTGTTTTTTCTTGGAATAATTTATTTATAAATTATTATAATTTTTTTTTATTTGAAAGATTTTATTTGATATATTATTCAATATATGCTATTTAAAATATTAAATTTCTTTGAAATTAATATTTT